TTTCCTCCTTCCTCACCAAACAGTTTAACCCTTTATGGGATGGCCCATGGGAAACAACCAAGCATCTGGAAATGCCTGACCACTAACTTTCACCTCTGGTTTAGCTACACTGCCAGTACATATATAGCTTACTGTCCAGAAAGTAAAAGGGAAAAGAAGAAGAAGGAAAAAAAAAAGACTGAAAACACTATCGCTTTGCCACACTTCAACATCACAGCACATTAAAGGGCTCTTGCCTAGGACCTCATAGAGGGAATCAGTATTTTAATTTGAATGTAGAGCTTTTCAATCATTTCTGTGTTGAAGGCATCTGATTCTCTCAACTTATTTTCTTTTACATGTCACTTAATGATAAATATCATTTTGCTTAATATTAACTGTTTCATGCAACATGTTCACATCCTGGGGATGAAAGACACTATATACGTATAATGTATTATTATTTGTAGTCATTTTCTGGGAGCAGTAATAAAAACGTATTTTCTGAAAAGCATAGAGATAATTAATTTGGACATGCTTAGCCTATTTTAAGTGCACTAAAGCTCTGATCCAATGGTTATCGAAGTCAATGAAAAGATTATTACTGTCTTGAATGGGTTTTGGACCAGAGTACAAAGACATAGTGAATGTGAATGGTAATTTGCCTTACAGTGAAATAAAACTAGAACACACACAACTAAGACCAGATTTGCACATCATATAACTTGACTGACTCAATGTGGTGTAGTGTGGTGCAAACCCCAGGGTTTAAGGCATAAAGTGCAACCTTTTTTTTCCCCCCTTAACAAATTCAGGGCTCTCATGAGAAGCAGAATATTGGCCAGCAAGATAAACATGAAATCTAGTCATAATTTCTGGTTGTTCTTTGTTACTTCCAGACTGGGGACAATTTCTGCCTTCATATTCTGGATAATTGGCTGATTTCTTAAAGGAAACCTCTGTACACCTTATTTTCTGAAGAGCATGTTGAATCACAATTTTGTCACTATCAAGGAAATGCATTTTCTGAGCATTTCAAGGCATAAATTATATGTCTGGTTTGTGACTCATGGCTAGCAGCCTTCCCCCTCATTCTAGTCTCTTGTTAATCTAGGAAATGCACACCTTCCTACATTTGCTTCTATTGCTTCTGAAAAAGATCTGTAATAGAATCCTATTGGAAGGCTAATTTGCTAGGCAGCTATTACATTATAGTTTTACAAAGAAAAGAACTAATGCACTCAAACTTATAGGCCCAAATCACAAGGGTTTTATGAAAATTTGTATGAAACTTGAGGTTTAATAATTCATTCACTTTCTCATGCTTCGCAGTTAAAGAGAATCTCAGCTTCTCTCACATCCAGGGAGATTAGTTAGTTTTTTTTTTTTTTGTTGTTTTTTTTTTGCTAAGCTTGAAAGGCGTGGAGGGGCTTTACCTAAAAAAACCCAATAATAACATTCTCTAAAGATTTCACAATGGAAATTCTGCCCATTGGGCTGCATTTCTCAAGCTAAACTTTTCTAAGGCAAATCTTTGAAAAAGTAAACTATTCCTACCATTTTCTCCAAGATACTCATTATCTCTGCTCTGCTCAAACCCATAGATGTAGTTTTCACAAATTTCTCTGGAAAGCAGGTGGAAAGCAGTAATGTGATATTCTTTAAAAAAAATTTAATTCTCTCAGGACAATTACCAAGATAATATTTTGACTGTTGTCCATTCAGTTTTTGACCACATATATTATATGCTCCGTTTATTAGTGCAAATACATACATGCTTAACAGATATAAAACCAGAGATTATCATTCTTATGGTACAATAGAGGGGGGAGGGCTCTAGTTCTGACTCATAATTTTGCACCAATTTGCTTATTAGTCTACCCACTGACATCCCGATGACCACACGTATGAACTAGAATGTTTACATGACCTGCAAGAAGTCTCAACAAAATCAGTTCACAGAAAGTTATTATTTACTATGAATAAAGGTGGTCAAATGTGGATCAATGCAAAAATAGTGGATTGATTAGATTTTGTAAAAACAAAACAAAAAAACCAACTCTACTACTGTATAATCCTTATTTGACTGAATAAGTCTCCCAGTCTGTAATTATTAGCAACCATTTGATAATGACGCCAGTCTATCCTCCTCCTTTTCTAGTGATTTTCAAAGAGCCCTCATCCTCCCTCCAGCTGCTAACAATGTAAAATGGAAAGATGAAGTGGTGGCCTTTCAATGGATGTCACTGATTGGGAGGAGAAAGAGATATGGAAATTTACGTTCTGATGAATTCTTCAGGGAATGTCTTACCGAAAATCAAAGCAGCAGAAATCATAAAGGGGGACATCCCTTGGTGATGAAAATCTCAGGCAGTAAAGCTCCTTAGAGAGAATAAGTCTTGTCATAAGTCCATTTCATAGCCTTGTTATGCTCCCCAAAGTCTGAGACACTTTCCCTGAAGACTTCTTTGGATGGTTATGATTGCAAAAGAAAGCTTATGGACTCATTATTTATAGAGGAGACTTTGGTTTTAACAACTCAGGTATATTTTTTAAAAATAAAAGGACTACTTGCTAGTTTTGTAGGTAAGACCCCACTTGTAGAGACATCAGCTGCACATAACTTCTATTGAGAGACTTTGCTGCATATTTAGAGGAAGAAATCTTGAACTGGACTTTAATGAAAATTCCTAATTCTACCAATGCCAGCATGCAATGCTGAGCAGAGTATTCAGACTTGCCTCTGCTGCAATATGCTGATTTGGAAGATCAGTGGATCCAAGAGCGCGAGCACCTACGCAGATGCAATACTTTCATTTCTCGGAGGTGACATAAAGCTTAGTTTATACTTGTAAAACGCATTCAGATAAAACACATTCTGAAAATGCAAAGCATCTCACTGCAATTTACCTTGTAGGGTTCCCCAAATAGGTTAAAACCTGAAGCAAAAAGATCTTCATCTTGCTGGACTTCTTGATTTCTTCTCTCCCATTCTTTCCGCTTAAGCGCGCTCCGGTCTTGCTCATAGTGACTGAAGAGGAGAAGTGGACAAAAAAGACAATATATTATTTTTCCCATAATTTAGTTACATATTCATTATTATCAATAACAGAAGAAAAACCATCAGAAACTATGCAACTCTTGAGTACAATTCTGAAAGAAAGAAAAAACCACCGGGTAATTTTCCCAAATGCAAATTTGGAATCATAATAATATACGAAAGTGGGTAATGTCAGTAAACTTTAAAATGAAATCAGGCAAAAACTTTCTTTTCAAATTAACAGAGTATTACGCAGAAGCATAAAATAGATTTTGATGCATCTGTGTGAACATAACACATATCCGTAGGCGTAATGCACAAACGCGTGCACATACGTGTACACACCTGCGCATGCGCACCTGCAAAGAACCTCTCTGCACGGAGGAAGCCAAGGTGGAGTCAAGGGAGCCCAGCACCATCTCCAAACGCATTTAACTGTGTAACACTTGTCTACATCCATCCCAATGCTGCACGTCAGCCTAGCGTGACTTGGAACATCTAATTCTGTCCCGCACACTTGTTAAAATTTATGTAAGGTTTCATTGTGGGTGTCAGGGTTGTTTTAAAAAGTGTTTTTGTAGCTGTCTCCCAGAAGGAACTGTAGGTTAGTTGACTCTAGTGGCAGGTAATTCTACACACAAACAAACAGCAACGGATCTATCGCCTGGGAGCGGCGATGGCAAGATGTCAGGTATCTCTGTGTCAGTTTACTTTGTGCAGCTGCCAGACCGAGATGACAAGCTGAGAGATCACATTCACTTCTCTCCTGAGCAGCGCTGAAGTACTTTGGTCTCTTGGCTTTGCAAACTACCTCCTGCTCCTCTGAGGGAAAAGATAATAATTAAAACCCTGAAGGAGGAAAAGAAGGAAAGAGGAAAGCGAAAGATACATGCTTCAACTTGCACTGACAGCCCCTCATGTGACAAGCATTAAGGGACACTTCTGTGCCTTCAACCCATATTTGATTTGTTATGGGGCTTTTGGCTCTACTTTGTGTCAGTTAATTAGCTACCAAATTCCAGACGACAATTTGAATAGCAGATTTAGTATATGCACTGACGTTATCTGTTGCAAGCAGTATCTCCCTGATAGATTCTAGACATATACACACAAATCCATGCACAGCCTATATGTATAAATACATACATACAGGCATACATATGTAACAACAGTTAATTCTCATCCTTCTGTCGAGAATGAATTAAATTTCCATAGAGCTCCACTGCACTTGGAAGATAACCAAATATCTACAACTTTTGCCTTTTTAGCTCAGCATGATGTTGTATTGAAAGCTTCACACGGAGAGATATAATGAGGAATGAACTGCACAGTGATGAGGCTTTAACAGTGTATAAAGTCACTGATTTCTGAGTGAAACCACAATTACTAATTTGAAGCACCAGCTAATTAAAACCACAGCTATGTATTTAGCCTCTTGTTATACCTACTGCAGTTTATAATTATGAGGACCTCTTTATCTACTCAATTAAAGTTCTTATGATTGAGGCAGGTTGTGTTTGAACCTGCAAGCCCTGCAGAGACCACAGGAAAGCATATGTCTGCTTCCTGATGATTCCATGTATCCTTAGACTCACATACTTGTTTTCATACAGGGAGGGAAAGAAAAAAAGAAAGACCAATGCCACAATGAAATCCCTAAATCATAAATATGAATTAATAATTGGTTTAAGCAGTTCAAGATCATTCACGCTTGGATTGAATAAGGCTTGAGTACGGCTCATAAATAGAATGTAAAGCCACCTACGTAGGCTGAGCTAAATGATTTCCATCCACATTTTACTTTTACAGGTTGGAAGGCTGAAAAGATGCCACATTTTATTTATTTATAGCACTTCTTGATGTAGTGACATCACTGGCTCACATTCATTAACCAGCATTGAGCTCAAGAACATTACTATAACAATAATCCTTGGAATTTTTGCAGAAGCAATAGTAGTATTTACTGGTTTCCTGAGGGAGAGGGAAGGGAAACTGTTGTAAGCAAAGGTCACTTCACCATACTATATGCAATCGCATGCTGCTACTACAATACTGCAAACTACCAGCTACCCACTGAAAAGGGTAAAAGGGGGAACATGAGCCTCTCTTCCTTTCATGTTTCTACATCAAGATTAGAAACCACAGATATGGGACTGAGTACCAACTGCTTTCCAAGTTGGTACATGTAGATGAGAACAAGGTTGACTCTATCTCTCCCCAAAAGCATTCTGGAGAAGGGGCTGGTTAGTTTGGCCGAGAAATATCACAGATTTACCATTGGTAAGGGACCATAATGCATTATTGCAGTAGCTTCCCACTGAATAAGGGAAATTACCTTAGGAAAATCTCTCCTAAAGTAAAATGCTGTCTTTGGTGTATTTTTCACTGCCTGTCTTGCTCAGAACTATGTTAGGGCATAATCCAGCCCAGGAGCTGGGGCAACACGCTGTGTTCAGCCTTCTTATGGGGGAGCTTTCCAGCAGCTCCTTTGGCACCTTGACTTTCAGACTGCAATTCTTGCTTCAAGATCTGATGACTATGAAGTTATGAGCCCGATCTTGACTGCAGCAGGGTCACTCAAGTTAGCAGATCTAGTGTAAGCAGGATTTTATATCCTGCATGAGTAATCTTTTCTTATGGAAATGGTCCCATCCCCTGCACTGCCAGCATCCACTTCAGAAAGTGTAATTCCTGCAGATAAGAGCTGCATTCTGCAGCCTCACAACGGTAACCCTGGCCCGAAGGTTCAGGGTGAAATCCTGGGCCCATTCAAATCAAACTGAATCTGGCCACTGATTTCAGCATGGAACGGATTTCACCTGCAATATGAGATTCCAACACTTCATTATCTAAAAGCAGGCTCTGGTCTTAAGTAGGCAAAGTATTTAGGATGAGTTCCCTAAATACTTTGGAGTGGAGGTATTATGCCACCTCCTCTCTGAGGAAAAGTGGCAAAGGCTCTGAGACTCTTTAAATATGTTTTAGAACATATTACAAAACTACAAATTCAAAATCAGTGAAAATAACGGTAATTGACAATGGCATAATCACTTTAAAAGACACTTGAACTAAGACAGTATTTACAACAGTAACAGCAAAGGTTAAAAATTCAATATTTTCCAACACAATGTACTGAAGTACTTCTCTCTTAGTGGGCATCTTTATGAAAGATATATGTTCATACACCCAAGAGACAAGCACGGGCGTGCACCTCATGCCCTGGACCTCAGTGATATTTACAGACTATTAAACTGTGAGCATCCATTTTACGACACAAGCAAAGCCCTAAGTGAATAGCTACCTCCACACCATTCCCAAGCTTGGTCTCATTTTGTTCTTGTAGGAACAAAACAAATAATAGCTCATTTTGAACTTTTCCCTCACACAGTTGCACTGGAGCTTTAAATATACAAAGTCTCTACTCAAAAGGAAGTGGTTGCTCATCAAGCCAGGACAATTACTTTGCTTATTTCTCTGCAAATGCACTTTTGTTGTAGAAAAGTTGACACTGCATTGATTGCAGCTACGGAAAGTCAGATGTTATAAGATCATACACAGATTCAGGTAACAACTTCTTTGGATTCCTTGTAATCTGAAGGGGGGACCCTGATTAGGTCTTAGTGCACTGAGAACCTACTGGGATGCTCTCCAGAAACTCTTGATACAGCCACAAAGCATTCTCTGGGAGTCATGTTTAATATTAAGCTTAACTAATGTTCTGTGAAATACGGATATGTGACTAGTGGTGAAGGTGTCAGTGAAAACTACAGTCAGATACCATGAGGAACACCACAGTTCAGTCCATCTCATTAGTATAAGAAATACTTCAGGACTCCTTTAAAGCTGTGAGAGTGTGAAATCACATATGTAGACTTCTGCAAACATTTAATGAAGAGATTTAGAGGAAAATCTGACAGCTGCAGGCCACAATACTCATTGTATCTGAGAGGGCCAGTTCCCTATGAAGTTACAATGCAGTTCAAATACATGAGTATTATTGTTTTGTTACCACTTACTAGATTAATAATTAAATTAGAAGGGGGAAGTCTGTACATAAATCTGGGAATAGCAAGAACAGTGAGAATCTTACAAAGTACATGGGACCTGTGGACACCTAAAAATTGCCAGTTTGTTGGATATGGCATGACGGAACGGTAGCAATAACTACTGTTGTTTGGGCATGTTTGACACCAGGACAGGCTGCACACGCATTTCAAACAACAGAGCAGCGTGGATCCGTTTGCCATTCTCCTCAGCTACGGACACCGTGAGGGGCAGGGGTGACACCCCACACCGTGGCAGGAGGGTGCTCAGCCAGCATGGATGTGCAGTGTCAGGGAGGGCTGTGGAGCGACAGCCCTGCGCGCTGGCTGCAGCCCAGGGGGAGCCGGGGCAGCGCTCAGGACCTTCCGGCGGAGCTCGGTTAGAGGGGCAGGCTGTAGTGTCACAGCAAAGGACGACAGGCACAACTACAGGTTTGGGGATTGGAAGGTAAAGATGTGGATCTGGTGATGAGAAGGAAGCCAGACATGTTCTGACTACAAAAGGCAGAACCAGAAGGTGGAAACTGCATTCTGGCATGGGAAAGGGCAGTGCAAGCATCTGCAGTGAATGGGAGAGAGAGCGGTACAAGATCTGGAGGGAAAATGAAAAAATCTTTTTGGATAGATTGCAATAGAGCAAAAGGTTAGGAGGAAGAGTTCCAGAGGAAGCTGAAAAAAAGAAGGTAAGAGCAACAGCTAAAGGCTGACACCGAGCATTTGAGCTTTATCTTCAGAGATGTGGTAACTAAAGCCACAGCAGTAGTCTCCTGAAGTGTGGACAACTAGGAAAGGCAGCAAGGGCCTGAGAAAGGAGGGGGAAGGAGCAGAAGTAAGAAGTTAGAGCAGACAAGTCTGAAGGAGTAATCATTGTGACATGAAGAAAAAGCAGAAGAGGAGAAAATGATCAAATGTCTAATGTTGCAGAAAAATCATGAATGAGGACAGAAT